GCGTAGCGGCCGGGGACTCCGCGCCCAGATTCATAATTCATGCGCATGTTAATAAGGAAGCGGCGTTGCCACGGCGACGGCGACGCCGGTCGGAGGTTGCGCGCGCGTGTCCCGCTGGACGGTTTAGCGTAGGCGCGCCTATCGCATCCTCTCTCTGCCGCCGCTGCTGCTGCCGCCGCATTGCATTATTGATGAAGCCCTACGAAAACAGCATCGATTGCGTCTGACGTTCGTTCCTGTATGTTCCTCTCGCAATGTTCTTATGGGCATGCTGTTCTGTTCGCATTGGCCTTCCATCCGCGCCGCCATGGGGGTCTTTAAATAGTCGTATGTTCACTCTAAATGTGCCGAATTTTAGGCGTAGGCGCGCCAGCGTTCTGTTATAGGCTTGGGTTTTGTGTAGTAGTATTTTTGAATTAATTTTAAAGCCGGTGGAGAAAATCACGTAACATTAAAAGTCAATCAATCGAGTCACTCCATCCCGCAGCCCTGTTGGCTCTCTGCCCTTCACCGACGCGCGCTAATGTCCTTTGGTTTTTGTAAAATATATGAATGGATCTCTACACAATATTGTTGCTGCTTTTGCTGCTGCTGTTGCTGCTGCTGTTGCTGCTGCTGTTACTGCTGCTGCGGTTGCTGCTGTTACTGCTGCTGCGGTTGCTGCTATTACTGCTGGTGGTGCCGCTGCCGCTGCTGCTGCTGCTGCTGCTGCTGCTGCTGCTGCCGGTGGTGGTGATGGTGGTTGTGCTATTGCTGCTGTTACTGTTGTTACTGCTGGTGCCGGTGATGGTGATGGTGATGGAGATGGTGATGGTGATGGTGGTTGTGCTATTGTTGTTGTTGCTGCTGCTGCTGCTGCTGCTGCTGCTGCTGCGGCGGCGGCGGCGGCGGCGGCGGCGGCAGCAGTGGTAGTGGGAGGGGGTAAGTGAAGCGGGTTTACACTCTTTTAGAGTTGTCTACTGGGTATCGAAAATGCGATGCATAATAAATGAATAAAATGTGAGTGGAAAGTTCAGAAACATTTAGGGGGGAGCTCGGAAATTGCGGGCAAAGGGTCATGTGTACGTAGGCAGGATATGGAGAAGAGGTGGGGAAGAGCGAGCGCGTGAGCGAGAGCGAGATAGGGGGGAGATGGAATGGGGGAGTAGAGAAGGTTTGTGTCTGTGTGTGCGTGCGTGCGTGCGTGCGTGCTTATGTATGCGCGCGTTGGATCGAGATGGGGATTTAGTGTGACACACGTAGAAGGGGAGTGAGAGAAGGAGAGCGTAGCTAACCCATTTTTCGGAGGGAGGGCGGCAAAGCCAAGTGCGTTCAGGGAAGGTGACCGCCATTGACCACGTATAATGAATCTACATTTCTCTTGGGGGAGCAACTACCCCCTTGCCCCCAGCTAGCTACGGCCATGGAGAAAGAGAGAGGAGGCAAGAGATAGATATAAACAAGAGCTAATAATGCATGTATAATGTACATGTAAAATGTACATGTAAAATGTACATGTACAGGCATAATGTACAGGCATAATGTACATGTAAAATGTACATGTACAGGCATAATATACATGTAAAATGTACATGTACAAGCATAATGTACATGTAAAATGTACATGTACAGGCATAATGTACATGCATAATATACATGTACAGGCATAATGTACATGTAAAATATACATGTACAGGCATAATGTACATGTATAATGTACATGTACAGGCTTAATGTACATGTAAAATGTACATGTACCGGCATAATGTACATGTAAAATGTACATGTACAGGCATAATGTACATTGGGCCCAAGCCTAGTGTAGCACCCTATATTAGCTTGGCACATATGCCAAAACATATTGTTCTATATACGAACTGTCGAGCGCGGACCAGTCTAAGTGGGGAAACAGCTCAGTTCACTGCACACGGTGAGATTTTCGCCACGAGTAACCAAAAATATCAAACACGTTGTATATTTGCCTCAACGGCGCGAATGACTTTTTCCTCACACAAAGTTGCCCGCACACGAGAGGAAACAGCTCAGGGATTGGCCACGAGTAACTTTTGTCTATGCTGATTCCCCTCGTGTTCCTGTCGGATGAATGTTAACACATGACCAGGCTATAGTTAATCTACATGTGTTATTTGCCTAGCTGCTGCTAGAGTTTTACTACCTAATAACCAAACTAGGATTAGGCAGCTCTCCACATTCAGAATTATTTAACGGGGAACCGCATTCAATGGGAAATTTAAATTAGGGAAACATCAATATACCATGTGGTCTAGTCAAAAAGAAGAAATTAAATTACTTGGCTAATGACACATGACAAAAGCAAAAAGCAAGACTGAGCTCAACTGGCATTGAAATCAAGCTGGCTCACAGAAACATGTACAAGGTGTTTAGTGATTGCTCGGGAATGGCCGGACATATGCAGTGGACCAATATCTTATTTGTTTGACCCCCGTGCAGTTACAGCAGTAACCTACGGGCTCGTATTCAAATACATTGTCACCTTTTATGTATTAACGTTATTCTTCTATTTTGATAGGTATGGTGGATTCTTTACTAAAGAAGCTCTCCCCTGAAATAACGACTAGTGCTGCGCAAATTTGAACATTCAATGCCAAAAATGAATCGGCAATCACCACGCCTAGCAGCGAAAGGTGCAGCTGATTCTTCAGCAAAGAAGGAGCTCTTCCAGCAAGCAGGTACCAGTGTTGCAGGAACTGAACGACCATTGCCAAGGTTGACGCCGATCAAGGCGTCTACAATCCAGCGGCAATCACCACGCCTAGCAGCGAAAGGTGCAGCTGATTATTCAGCAAAGAAGGAGCTCTTCCCACAAGCAGGTACCAGTGTTGCAGCAACTGAAAGACCACTGCCAAGGTTGACTCCTATTAAGACATCTAGAAGTAGAATCCAGCGGCAATCACCACGCCTAGCAGCGAAACAAAAGGCAGATGTAGCAACAAAGGAATTTCTAGATGCGACGACCATTCATCAACTAGTGTCATCAACTTTGTCAGCAATCCCTGTTCGTGTCCTGACTGTTACGGACACAACTGGCATTGTCTGGCTTGAAATAACACGAGAAGTTGCTGATGTCACCACTACAGAAGGATTACCCGTGTATTCTACAAAGCTGACGATAAATACCAGTAACGATGGCGATGGTATGTGCGACGTTTCTATATTTGATCAGAAGTGGGAGTCAGCACCAGTTCTTGTCAATGGTAGACTAGATGAGCAAGCACTCCTTGACACAGTCCAGTTGCTGCAATCACCATATGTACCGTGTCATGGTGTACCTCCAACGCTGTATGCAACCTTAAAGTATGAGACAAAACAGATTGAGCCTGCTACCCCACCTACGGAGAGATACTCAAGTAAAAGGTGCTCCGTTATCTACAAACGTCAGAGAAAAGCCAGACCTGGAGAACCACAACAGTGGCATGAGTGGTGCTCAAACTGTAAAAAAGCCTACAGTGACGTCCAGAGAATGCAAAAAAAAAAAGACGAGGGAAAGGACATTAGATCAGCACGAGTGCATCCGTCATCACACCATCCACTGAAGTTCATGAGCCCTAAGAGCAAAACTGTCCGAGGCCGTAAAGCCATTGCTAGAGCCACTCACCTGAGGCGAAAAATTAAGAAAATGCAAAAACGACTTCGTACAATGAAAATTGCAGTAGATGACTTACAGAATGTGGACATTGCAAAAGCTGTTTCTGTCATCAACCAAAATCACCACGAGGAATTGGAAAACATCTACAGGGAAGCAGAGGCTAGTGCTGGCAAACTTGTCGCAGACTCGCTCCGAAAAACATGGGATGCAGACAGTAGCCGCAAGGAGTTCCTGTTCGACCAAGCTCAAAACAGTAAGCTATCTGTTAACATATAAATTGTCATGTGAAAAGTTAACATTGCACTGCCTGTTATCATCATACTGCAATCCTAGAAGCTTAATTTAATATTTTAAAAAATTATGAAAATTTTAGATTAAATCCAGTGATCATATAACTAGCAGATATTAATCATTTTAAAATATTATTAGCTGTAATTTCATGTTTTCAATCCACATGGACATGGAACTAAAACACTTTTTTTCTTAAGATGATTATCTTCTTTCATTTTCAGTCACTGGCAGAAAAACAAATGTATGGAGCATGACAACCTATCGCATGGGTAAGAATGTTATGTAACCCATGTTGTAATTATACTTTGTTAGGTAATGATTTCTGGCAACATTGATGATAGAAGGCTGTCGCTTCATGATTTCTCGATTAATTTTTTGCCCCTCAGCAATCAGATTTCAAGTTCAGCAATCGATTTTCATATTGGGAATTGTGCGTGCGTGCGTGCGTGCGTGCGTGCGTGCGTGCGTGCGTGCTGCGGATCGGTGGGAGCTTAGCTACAGGGACGTGTGCAGTCAGTCTAGGCGTGATCCGCTCGTTTCCGTCTTTATTATCTATCGAGCATTAAATTCATATATTCCGGCAGCGGCGCGCGTTTTTTGAGACCATTAGCGCAGTTCCACCCACCTGCGCGCACGCACGCAGACGCACGAATTTCATCTCGCGGAGACGTTGTTATTTTCTAATTTATTCCATCGCGCGAATAGATACGACTACGTATAACATGGCAGGAAGTCCTGTTATGTATGTATGTATATATATATATATATATATATATATATATATATATATACGGTTTCGGTGGCGAATTTTTCGAGGCATGTAAATGAGACGTAAGAGAGCGTGACTCGCGTGCGATGTTTGGCGTGGAATCCTATATATATTAAATATTTCCTATTACCGTCGCGTCGCGCTGAAAGTCATATTATCATCGGTCAACACGCCATGATGCATATAGCCAATAGCGTATACAGCGACTGTATACAGCGTGGGCAGAGAGCGTCGGGTAGAGAGTGTGGGGGAGACAGTATGGGGTAGAGAGCGTGGGCAGAAAGTGTAGGGCAGATAGCATGGGGCGTAGGGCAGACAGCATGGGGCAGAGAGCGTTGGGCAGACAGTGTGGGATAGATAGCATGGAGCAGAGAGCATGGGCAGAAAGTGTAGGGCAGACAGCATGGGGCAGATATATATGTTATGGCGCGTACGTTAGCAGTATGTATTGACCAGCTCTGTTATGTTGCACTGTTGTATGTAATGTAAGCTGACGTTGTTCTGATTGCGTTCATTCTCTGCCTACGCTACTACTGACTGGCGCTCCAAAACAGCGAGCCAGCCAGCTGTCTCTCTCTCTCTCGGCTCAACTCCCCGCCTGCGCGGCTACGTACTCGGAAACATTTTATTTCGTATCGAAACACAGGTAATCGATAACACAGGTATCGAAGGTGCGCACTGTCACGGTCGTCTATAAAAGCGAGAGACGCTAGTGGAAACAAACACAAGGAAGAATAATAGCGAGCGGCAATTACTGCCCTAACCCCACCCACCCCGCCTACTCATCACACCCGCCCACCTCCTATCAAGACGGAAAACTGCGAAACTGATCTGCAAAATCTTTCTAACGATGCAGCCGATGACTATGATGATGATGATGACGATGGCGGCGATGATGGCGATGGCGATGATGATGACGACGATGGCGGCAATGATGACGATGGCGGTGATGACGATGACAGATCTAGAGACGGTCAATGTCACGATCGCCGAGATCGTGGGTAAGATGCGGGGCACCCGTCTTGCCCCCCTAATTCTGCCTAGGAAACCCGTCTTGCCTCCCCCCCCCCTAATTCTGCCTAGGAATGTCCGGGTCTCGTCAGATGGGTTGGGTCGTAGGGGGCGCCCGTCTCTCGGGAGGGGTCTGTAGAGGGCGCTCGTGGCGTGCGCACGTGTTTTGTGAGGGTAAAAATGTTTGCAATATGGGTTTGCAATTTTTGAAACGCTTAACGTCCTCTCGCGGAAGATGCTAGAGGAAGCTGCGCGTGTTGCCATGGTGACAGCATACACGGAGAGAGATCTAGACCTGCCGGAGAGTTGAGCCGAGAGCCGAGAGTAATCGGCATGGATTTCGGTAGAGGACATGGTGCCCGACGCTGCTTCCCCCTCGTGTCACGTTCCCGTACTACATCAATGGTTAAGTCATAATGAAGTCATGATTCCATCATGATAGAGTCATGATGCAGTCATGATAGAGTCATGATGCAGTCATGATAGAGTCATGATGCAGTCATGATGTTATGATGTAGTCATGATGTAGTCGTGATGAAGTCATGATGAATGATGCGACGATGTCAGTCTATCTGACAGTGATATCTCGGGCCGGCTAACACCCGCCAACACCGTCGTTAAACATTCGCTCGTCGTGTTGTTCATAGCGACCACGTACACTTCTAGCACACAGCGAATCCGCCCATCTCCACTTAATACGCTCAGCCGGGGGCGTGATACGAGAGGAAGGTGAGCTGGGAAGCTTAGGAAGCCGGAAAGCTGATGCCTGGCCGGCTCCCCCCACACGTGGGCAGAGGATGAATGCGACCCCGTTCTTAAATCGGCCTCCAGAGACCTTATAACACAGAGACGTCTCTACCTCTGTGAACCGCCTCTCTACGAAAACCCCTCATCCTTGTTCTCTGCGGCAACGCTTAAACCGCGCTTACTTACGTAAATACAAACACCATACGCCTTCAACCACCGCGTTCGCTGGTGTCACGCGTGTGTTTCCAAGATGGCCGCTGCTTGACACGTCTCTGTAGTTGTACGGTCTCTGTGTGGCTCCGTCGTACGTCCTCCCGGACGCGCCTCGTCTAACCACGTGACCATCCGTTGCTTTCAGGCAGGAAAAATAGTTCGTCTCACGCGGGCGGTGGCGGGCGCGGATACAAATATGTCAAATATCTGTCGTGTAAGTATGGGCGAGCTGCAGATGACCGTGGGGGCGGCAGGGGTGAGGAGGTAGGCCGCGGTAGGGGGAGGGGAGGGAGGCGGTCCCGCTTGCGGCACGCGACCCACAGTTCGTTTCGCTGACAATGATTGAGTAATGGTTGTTTGGCTCCATTGGTCCGGTTGCATCTTGGAGATATAATTTGCCTACCATGCGTGCCTACAGATCCATATATAAATAAATAAATAAATAAATAAATAAATAAATATATATATATATATGCTCCGTAATGGACACACTAACAGCGCGACTATGATCTCTGAACCGTCCCATGAACTCTGATATAGGTGGTGAAGGGGTGCGCAACTGACAGCTAGCTGCCTTCACGGGGCGTGGCCGCATCACGCAGCACCCTCCCCTCCCCCTCCCCCCGGGGGCACACCTCCTCTCCCGTGCCGCCACCCTGCTCGGGCGAATGAACGAACCACGCAATGTCGTAACAAGTTATTTATTACAGGAGCGAAGATGGCGACGCAGGTGGTACTAGGCCACGGAGAAGCCGTTATTAGGGGGGTGGGACACGACGGGTTACGCTAGAGGGGCTGCGACTGTGACGAGGGAAGGGCGGTGAATGTGACGGAGGAGGGTCTGTGACTGTTAAGAGGAAAGGAGGGTGTGACTGTGACGCTGGCGGGGCTATGACTGTGACTGGGAAGGGACTGGCTGTGACGGAGGAAGGGCTATGACTGTTACGCGGGAGGGACTATGACTGTGACGGGACTGTTTTAAAAGAGGGAAGGAGGGTGTGACTGTTATATCGGCGGCGGTGTGGCTGCAGCGATTCTCACAGGAGTGCAGCCACGCCTGTGAACGTCGGAGGGGTTTCTATCTATACATCTAGCAATTCTTGCAATCTAGCAAAGGAAATTGGAGAAGCCATGGCAGACAACTGAGAAACCGCGTCGTCACTCCCGCGGTTCACCGCACGCGTGTGTTCCTCGCAATGTTCCGCGCTCTGCGTCGTTCGCGGCGGAGGGTTCCATGTCCCTCCCTCGTCGTTCGCGCTTCTTCTTTCTCTCTCGGAGCGGCTTTCCTCATCGTAGCTTCTCCCGTTGCAGATGCGCCGAGCTTCACAGAGAGGCCGCTCGACCAGACTGGCGTCGCCGGAGGCATCGCCAGTTTCTTCTGCCGCGCCAATGGAAACCCGACCCCCGTCTTCAACTGGATGAAGAATGGAAAGCCGATCGGTGCAGGTAGGTGACGCTGCCGTGCCAGATTCGCGATGCGAGATTTGCGATACGAGATTTGCGATGCGAGATTCGCGATGCGAGAGATTCACACGATGCAAACGAATGCGTTTATCATCGTCTGAGACCGTGATTCATGGAGGAATAGAACGAGAGATAGAACGAGAGATTCACCCGATGCAAACGCGTTTGTTATCGCCTAATTAAGACCGTGATTCGTGGAGGAAGAGCGTGAATGTGTGGATGAATGAACGAATGGATATACGCGAGGTGTCGGTGAATTGGTGTAGCGAAAGACCATAGTGAACGTAATGAACGTCATGAACGTCAGTTAAGCAAGCTTTTACGTTTTTGCATTATATTTTACCGCTCAATGCGCTCGCTTCTCACACCAGCGGTAGAAATGAACTCAGAAAGAGGGAGTCCGCAGCAAAATGAGGGAGTCCGCAGTCTGAGGTTTAAAGTTTCAAAGATATTAACAATGACGCATGTGCTTATTTTTAAGATTCATGCAGTTGCACGTCTGCCAAATTTTCTTTGGACATTAGCTGAACAAATACAGTAATTCCGCGAGGCCGTGCTCCGGAACGAACTAGTTAGTATGGCAGAATTTTCAGGGAGTCACACGGACTCCTGCATATGTCAAATCAGGGAGTCCGCTCTGGAATGAACTAGTTAGTATAGCAGAATTTTCAGGGAGTCACACGGACTCCTGCATATGTCAAATCAGGGAGTCCGACAGTAAATCAGGGAGAATTTGACTCCGGACTCCCGTTAATTTCGCACCCTGCTACACCATGACGCGCATTATAACTCTACCATGCGCATTACTCCTCAGTACGCATTACCTGACGATTACTTCATAGTGGTGCGCGACGGGGAGAAGTTAAAACTTGATAATATGGGAAAGGAGAGATGCGGCCCTATCGAGGAGGTGCACAGGGGGAGATCAAACTGGACGGAGGGGGCAGGGGAGAGCATGAGGATGGGAGGAAGGTTGTAGCGGCGGCAAGTAACGACGCGCAAGGACAGGCTACCACGCTCGCAGCACGGATACACCACACTGCAGCATGGCCACGTAACAGCACGCCATGCCACAGCACACCACGCCACACTATAGCATGCCATTCCATGCCACACACCACGCCACACCACACTACGACGCAGCACGTTACGCCACACCACACCATGCCACGCCACGCCACACTACGACGCAGCACGTTATGCCACACCATGCCACGCCACACCACGCCACACCACGCCACACTACGCCACAGCACGCCACAACCACGCTACACCACATTGTAATTTGTAAACAGCAAATGCATAAAAGTGAAATTTAGTGCATACCTGTTTATCTGTATCAAAGTAATGCTTAACAATGGTATTTTTCAGCCCTGGCAATCTACGTTCGGTCTCCTGCTGCCTACAATGCCATTAAAGACCTAGGAGTTATGCAACTGCCAAGTGAAAGCTCCCTGAAGGATTTCACGGGTGCCAAGCTATTTGCACCAGGAGCTGCGGCATGGGAGAATCACGTGCTACAAGAAGCGGAACGGTATTGGCAGATTAAGAACAAGATCGGTGAAGTCTCTTCTGGTGACCCAGCTACAGCAAGAATTCCCCAGCAAGAAGGGGTTTTAATTTTTCATGAAGTCCGTGTTATTGGCAAGATAATGTGGAACACCAAAAATCATCAAATGTATGGATTGGCAATGTCGCCAGATGAGTTGAGCAGCCTGCACGGCGTTTACAAGACTGTTGATCCCAAGTCACGTGTACAGAAGGCAAAATACTGCTTGCAGTTTTTATGGCGTGATTGTACGTCTGACTTTGACCTTATCGGTCCTTATTACATGAGTGAAGGTGTACAGCCACCCAGCCACATAATGGCCTGCTTACAAGATACAATGCGGCTGCTGCATAAACATGGATTTATTGTGAACAGTTGTTTGTGACGGTGCAAGTACAAATCTAGCTGCAATCAAGATCATCACTCAAGCAGAAAATGGCACGTATGGTACGAGCGACCGGCCTGTACCAAATCCCCATGAAATTCAACCGTGATTCTGGAACTAGTATCAGCCAAATATACCAGTTTACTGGATCATCTGCCCGTCACATCAGGTAATTTACCTGATTTTTATGTGCATATTTGTTTTAAAATATCTTGTGATAAGCAGTTTAAAGTTATGAAACATATTGAGTAAATGCTTTTTGTCACATTTTCCTTGTTGATTTTAACTGGATAGATGGTATTGGATCGTTTCATTTACTCAAACCCTCATGATGTGGTTATGTGTACACATGTAATATAACCATTTCAAGTTTTGCATTCAAAAAGAAAACTGTACCATACATTCTTTTTCAGATGAAGCACGTTATCAATGCCCTCTGGCAATCAAAACCAGTTACTGGTCGCAGGAAAGATTTTCAAACTCACCATGGAAGTCCAGTGTTCGGCTGGGAAGCAATCGAGTCTACGTGGAGACGTGAGAAAGATCAGCGCTCGAAGCAACTTTCTAGAGAAGTACCCAGCTTGCAAGAAAGTTTCATCAAGCGAGATGCCTGGACAAAGCTGAATGTTAAGCCAGCCAAAGTCATGCAGGTTCGTGGTGCTTATTGCTGTAACAATTACCTAGAGCTGATAAAAGTTCCAGGGCGCCACAGGTGGGGGTGGGGGGGGGCAAGGGGTACACTCCCCCTACCAAGAAATGTAGACACTGGCACACAACACACACATGGCTTCCCCCTATGCAAAATCGGTTATCTATGCTCATGACCTGTAATTGTTATAATGTCTTGATATAAGTTTCTTCTTGTACGAATAAGTGGCATCAAGGGCTAAAATGTAAAGCCATGAATATTTCATTTTTGTAAATTTATGATGCGTAATATCGTCAGTTAAATTGTATTTGATGTTTAGAAATGTATATTAATACAGAAAAGCTTATATAAAACTTTAATTGGTTTTCCCATAGCAAGAACAAGTCCTTGCCGAACTTGCACAGCATGCAGCACCCACGGCCAAGCAGCCCCCACCTGATGCGGAAACAACGCTGATGACTAGGAACTACCTACAGGCTACTAGTTTGATGTTCGAAAATGGTCTTCTTGGTCATGAAGCTATCAGGAGCAGTAACAGCCAGTCAATGGACAACATCAGGAAAGGATACCAATTCTTTGAAGACTGGCTGGACACTCTGTTAGGTAGTAGTGACTTTATATTAATAACAAAAACATCTTAATATATCCTACATTGAAGTTATTCGGTACTATATAACTTTTAAAAACAACTTTTACAGCCAATAATGCAACGATAACCGTTCTCATGCTTTCCCAACTTTTAGGATATATACCGTTATTGCTTGAGTAACAGCAACTGTCTAGAGTATCGCTAACATGTCTTGGAACCTTCGTACTTAGCTATATTTACAAACACATGAACGATTCTAGTTTTGATTACTTGTTTAGTTTACCACCACCATTTCTTGTGAATCTCATGATAGCCCTAGCTATCAGCCAATAACGAAAGATAAATGGAGTCGGATGCCCCTTTCTTTGAATTAGTTGCAGAATGGGTGCACTTGTAACTAGGTTAACTAGTATACTAACAATTTGCAAGTATACCCATTCTAACTAAGGCGCCATTTGCAAAATAATTCTCGCTATAATAACATAGGCCATGGTGTTAAGATGTATTCAAATGCAATTTCCTATGCTATAACTGCATAAATTCTTAGTGTTTTTCAAGTTTGTGTAATTATGAGTAATGTATTATCTACTGTGAGATGAGACTATATTTTGGTACTTTTTTTTTTAGATTGATAGTTTCTGAGCAATATTTTCACAGTTAAACCCTTTGAACTGCAGTTATGCTGTTTTATACTGCTTGTCAAACATTGGTTTTGTAACATTAATCTAATTTTACAAGGCAGCATAGTGTTACACCTACCTACCTACAAATGTTAGTGCTTGTTGACTATTTACAGAAGGAAGTGTACAGCCTGGCGTTGCAGAGTTCAAGCTGACAAGCCCAAGAGAAAGACGCTTCATTTCTTGGCAGGTAACAAGAATTGTGAAACTAATAGGGTTTTTATGCACTGTTGCACTTATCCTGATCTTGTAATACCAATAATAATTATTTATCAGGCTCGTGATGGGGAATAACGATTATGGTGACATATCTTTTATACCTAATGAAGTGGGACCCCGATTTTACGCGTTCCGATTTCATGCGAATTCGAATATGACGCGATGAGTCGTTGGACCCCCTTTTATTGCTCTGATATAGCCCCTGTATATATAACCCTGATTTAGCCGGCTTTTTTCGCGATGACATTTTATGAACCCCTACCATCGCATTGCAACTGGGCTACACTATGAAATTTCTTTATTTGTAAACACAGGAATTGATCATTATAACCCAACAATATACAGCCTACAATTAGCATTTATTAATATTGCTTCATATGGATCGTTCGGCAAGGTTAGATAGGAGTTGTGTTTTTGATAGTAGGTATTTGTTGGATTTCCAGACCTGGGATCTCTTACGAGTTATGTATTTTGGATTCACTGGACTCGTCGAGAACTTCTTGAAACGTCATCCTGGCCACTTCATCGCACCACTACGCATCAATGGAAGTGCTGTAGAGACACTCTTCTCACAATTCAAACATCGTGCTGGAGGAAAATTGACTTCCTTAAATTATGAAACAGCACTGAGAAGCTATATGTGTAAGAAAAACTTAGCAACACATGCAATTCACCACAGTGGCAGAGACTACAGGGATGTAAAAATAAAAGTAGCAGATGCTCCCTTGTTAAGAAAGACAAAACGCGTAAAGATGTGATTACAAACGCGGCTACATGGTGATGCGGTTTTGTACCTTTACGAGTGTTCCACATAATTTTTGGATCGGTTGAGTATATATACACTCATCAATTTTCAAAATGTATGTTGCCTGGTATGCGTGGTAGTTTGCCATGAGTATTTTCAATGAGTATCCTTGCAATGTAATGAGTACTGACAGTATTTAGCTATTTACGTCAATTGGTGCTTGCATTGACTACAGCTGTGTTCACTTAATTATGTCTACTAATATTACGTTTACTAAATAGTTATGGTTAGTGTATACAGGTATGTTTGTGCATGCATGCGTCAATGTGATTTTGCTGGAATTGGCAACCTTTGAGATTATTTGTATCCCCATAAAATAACAATAGCTTATCTCCTTATGGTCGGTTTGTAATCTTGAGTAAATAAATATACCAATTTCTATAATTGTAACATTGATCTGTTTGTTTGTATTAAAGTCATTGTGAGGCAGTGGCACACAATTTTATAGACACGCACACACTAACACTATGACACCAGTGTTGTACAACAACGAAATAATTGTTTTATAACGGCAGAAATAGATTGGTGATGCAATATAACAACATATATGCATAATAGGCCTATGTTTAAATGTGTGTGACATTACGATTATGTAAAGAGCTTACATGTGTAGGGCCGTAGGCTGCTTATTTGGATTTAACATTTACATAGCCATATAAATTGTCTCTCAAGTTGAAACCACCTGGTGTTGTGCTGAACCCTTCTTTTTCAGCCTGAATTTGCATATATGATGATATAAATTCATTAAGTCTGGCGTGAACAAATTTCTGTTGCCACATAACAAAAAATGTGTCTATAGCCTCTTGGCTACATATAGCCTTTTCCATCCTTAGTGAGTAGTTCACAGCTTCAACAAAACATGTTCTAAGGTGATCAGATGCCTTCACTTGTGCAACAGTAACCTGTAAAGAAAACTATACTATGGTCGAGCACTAAGATTAAAACCATCAAGCTGTACAGGGGTCGAAATAAGCGTTGGTCCGGGGCCATCAAATAATCAGGAGGACCATCCGATTTTCAAAGTAAATGGTTCGACATACCGGACCGTCATGGGTTCAACTAAACTCTACTAAAACAGCTTTATTAACCAATATACTATTAAAGTGAATAAACAATTACTGTATTGTTTGATACATTTATTGTAGGTGGTAGGTGAATAATTTCCATTTTATCACCATGTAAAATCTCTTTCTTACGCTTGCACGCCGCGTTACTTTTAGAGAACAATTTGAAATTTAGAAGGACCATATAAAATTTATGATGACCATCTGTAGATGGGACTTATTGTAATATCTGCGAGTTTATGCAGGTTTACGTATTGTTTAGTTTCACTTAATTGTAAATGTAAAATTTTAATGAAAAATGTAATTAAATACTGCTCATAGGGTCTATGTCCCCCAGGGTACTGCCGGAACGTACCCTGGTCACTATTTGATATGGTTAGGGTTAGGATTAGGGTTAGGGTTAGGGTTAGAGTTAGGGTTAGGGAGTAGGCGTAGGCGACTCCCTACACTCGTTAGTGAAGTAGGCGAGGTACGGTCCGGAATATTAGATAGTACCAGGGTACGTTGCGGTATACCGGACCGTACCCAGGGTACGTTCCGGCAGTACCCCAGGGGACATAGACCCTCTCAGCATAAATACTACCGTATGATACCTTTACGAGTTCACTGCCATGCTGAGTGAATGATTCCTTATTTGCAACGAGGCATACTGCGTTGTTCAGTCTTCTTAGCCAGGTGAGGAAAAACCGCTTTGGGATCCACATGTAACCTTTATCTCTAGTGGCAAGACCAGTTGGCAACAGAGCTTGCTTCTTTTGAGCAGATGTCATCGTGCATGCCTTGGCCAGGTTCAGAACTTCTGCGTAAAATTTTTTCTTTTTCCATTTGCCCTGGCTATGAGCACGCAGGAAGTGGATTAATTTGGCCAGACAGCCCCCTCCTATACGCAATAGCGAATATTCAGTCTCTTCGTGCAGATTTGTCGGGGTTGTCTCGTCATCACCGTGGCGAAGAATACAAGTGGTTTTAGCAAGAGTTAGAATCGATGTGCGCAGAGTATCTGCAATGGCATGTGCAATGGAATGAAAGACGGCACTTGCATCATTTGCTGAAAATGGTGCTAGGCCTACATGTAATTCGAACGCTTGCATGCATCGTCCCCAAGTTGTGTTCCTATTGATGCAGTTTTCACTATTTATATAAACGGTTAATGCATTTAACCACGCACAAAGAAACCTTGCATATCTCTCACGTGCTGCATACGTGGTAGCGCATTTTTTGTAAAGGTCGCAAAACATCTTAACCAGCTCGTCAATAAGTTCGTTTGCCTCTGCTTTTGATTTAAAAAAATCGATACATTCTAGTCTAATCTTGATATGCTCATCATGTTGTTTCTGTACAAACTCCCATATCATTGTATAAAACTCTTCACCCATTGATTGCTTTTGTGATTCCAAACGATTTACAATGTAATCAACTTTATGCACAGATAGAGATGAGATTTCTACAGGCCTCCGTCTCCTAACATCTTTCCTAGCGCCAGTATTAGCACAGACTAACGGATACATCCGTTAATGTATCCGTTAGTCTGTGGTATTAGTGGATGCGGCCATGTTTTCTCAATTGATTACCAGCAACGCTACGCAGTTGCTATGGTGTAGTAAGAACACCAAATTTGGTGCTGTGACGTCAGTTTGGGCAGAAAGTGTAGGGCAGACAGCATGGGGCAGAGGGCGTGGGGCAGACAGTGTGGGATAGATAGCATGGAGCAGAGAGCATGGGCAGAAAGTGTAGGGCAGACAGCATGGGGCAGACAGGGTGGGATAGATAGCACGGGGCAGAGAGCATGGGACAGACACTGTGGGATAGATAGCGTGCGGTAGAGAGTGCGAGGCAGAGAGCGTGGGACAGACAGCGTGGGCAGGTCTAGTAGATTAGTTTTGCGTGGGTCGTAGCGCACGCTCACGTCTGTCGGGGTGTCGCGTGCCGGTGTCTGCGAGGAAGCCAGACGAGCGGTCGTGCGAGACGACGAGCCGACGAGGCGTTTAATGGCTTCATGTAGAAGCATCCTTGTTGTGAGTGACAGCGCGGGCAGCACAGCATGAATGGAATGAGGAGGCAGAGAAAGCACTTCATCACTAATTAGCAACTCGTGTTCGTTCGCGTGTAGGATGAGTCACAGCATTGCAATGCTACCGCTGTTCCGGTTCAAGTCCGTAGTCCCGTTCCGGTACTATGCTGCAGGCGTTCCGTTACAATGCTGCATGCGTTCCGTGACAATGCTGCAGTGGTTCTAAGTGCGGGTATGTTACAATGCTGCGATTGTTCTATTACAATGTTATATTGTTCCATAAATATAGTCCCATTGATATGCTGCATGCGTTCCGTGACAATGCTGCATGCGTTCCGTTACAATACTGCAGTGGTTCTAAGTGCGGGTATGTTACAATGCTGCAATTTTTCTATTACAATGTTATCTTTCCCCACAATAATAGCTAATGCTACATTGGTTCCGGTACATGCCGCACTGCTTCCGCGTGGAGCTAACGCAAACAATACATGTACAATGTGTGAAGCCATTAAAACATGTAATACTCTTCAAACGCGCATGCATTAAACATTTAAGGCTGCTGAAATGCGTATCCATTAAACATTTAATACGTTTTAAAAGAGAGAATCGCATGAAACGTTTCACACTCGCTAAAGAGGAAATCCTTAAACATTTAATACTTCCTGTGGACGAAATCTTAATCTTTCTCCGTGCGTTCACGGTGCTAGTCTATGCTGTAGTGACTCAAACAGCGCGGATTCTCGAATGAATTCTTCTTCCTTGAATGAAGCCCAACCCGGCTTCCACCCAGTGTGCGGTAGAATGAGAGAGACGGAGAGAGAGTGTGCGGAGAGTGCGAATGCGAGAGAAAAAAAACTAGCAAGAAGAGAGTGAGTGAGAGAGCGAGAAAACTAGTGCGCTTGCGCGAGATAGATGGACAGGGCGGGTGGTGTAGGGGAGCGGAGAAGGAGGAGGTGGGAAGAGGAGAGGACAGGGTGGGTGGTGTAGGGGAGCGGAGAAGGAGGAGGTGGGAAGAAGAGGGGACAGGGCGGCGGTGCATGGGGTAGGGAGAGGACGGTGCTGCTGGGAGACCAGAGGTGGACAGGAGAAGAAGAAAGGGGCTGGGTGAGGTAGGGGAGAAGACGGGACAACGGGAGTGGACAGAGAATAGTAGGGACACCGGAGAAGGCATGGGAGAGGTCGGGCGGGCGCGCACGTAGGGAACGAGGGCGGGTGCGGTGCATGAAATAGAAGAGCGTGGGGAGAAGCGAAGAGAGAGTACTGAGGATGGAAAGAAGATTAATACGGGGAATCATTTAGAGAACGTGAAGATACTGAAGATAGAAAACAAGAAAAACAGACGCAGAAAATGTGGAGAAGATTAGAATGCTGACGACGGGCAGAAGATGTCGATGCTAGATGCTGCGGATACCTCTACTTACGGACCGCATCGTGAAGCGGCATCCAAGACAAATTCTTTCACTTCCATTTCTTAAATTCCCGAGGGTGCATGCGGCGTTCCATTAGCCTTGCGAACGACATAATTTCCCTCTCGATGATAGTGAAAAAAAGACACACGTAAATGATTGCGTACTTGCGTGGGCGCAGGATATATTTGATGGCGAAAAGAGGCTTAGGATCAAAGCAAGCTTCGTTAGGCGAATTATCGAGATAATACGATTGTAGAAATGTTGATTGTTATTTGATCATACGCAACGGCGGTGACGGTTACGTCTATCCGCACCTGTTCACGACGTAGGGAACCCCTTATGTCCCCATTGCTCTGCTTCATTTCGCCTATCTCTCTCGCTATCTCGCGTGTTCTCTTTTTCTTCTAGTTCGCTTTCTTTTTCGCTCTTACTCGCGCGCTATCGGTCTCCCTGCCTTTCTCTCCGTCCTCTCTGCGGGCGTCATCAGATAATCAGCCATCGCTCTCTCCTTCCTCCCCCTCCTACCCCTCCTCTTCATCTTGTCCCTCCCTCTCCCCTCCTACCTCTCTGCGGGCGTCATCAGATAATGAGCCATCGCTCTATCCTCCCCATCACCTCCTCCCCCTTGCCTAACCTGCCACACCCCCTCCTGTTCCCGTGCCCCATTCTCCCCCTCCTCTCCCCTGCCGCCTTCCTTCACTCTCCTCCTTTCTATCTACCTCCCTCCCCCTCTGCATTACGCTGTCTTCCACGAAACTCGGCTGCGCAGCTGATGCAAGCTAAAATAACATGTCAACCGTATGGCTTCATTGCATTGCACTGGATAGCATCACTTCATGTCGTTACTTCGTGCTTTCTGTGTGTTTTTCTCTTGTTTTATGTCTTTCCAATGACTTGCGGTCTTTCTCACATGCTTATCGTATACACGACGAACATTAGAAAGAGGGACGAAAAAAGACATTAGAGAGAAAACACATTTGTTGTGATTCATGTGAGTTTTTCCTTTCTTTCTGATGTATTTCTTTAGTACCTCTTCTTGATGAAAGAAAGCCATTAGAGAGAAGATACACGTATTTCGTGTATTTCCGGTATTTCATGCATTCTTCATCCTTTCTGTTTTTTATGTTTTCTTCATTCATTTCTTTCCGTAATGCTTTTCTCTCCGTTGTAATTTTTCTCGTCGTTTCTAATGCAATTCTTTCGTTCCTCCCGTGGGTGTATTTTCTTTCTTTCTTCATTCCCATATCGCCTTCTTCCGCTTTCCTCGACCGAACACAGGTCGCGGAAGCGTTGTAAAGTTCGTTACGGGGAATTGCGTGCCGACTTCCTGGAACCAATCCGTATAGTTGAGAAAGAACAATCAATAACTAACACGCGTGAGAGCGTGCACTGGTGCTAATATGGCCAAATTTATGACACCCGGGTCAGGTGCGGGGCACTCGATCCTGGCGCCGTCTCTCCTTCTTATTTCCCCCCTTTTTCCTCCCTTATTCTCCCTTATTTTCTTCCCTTATTATCTTGCTTGTTGTGTCTCTGCACTTGTCGGCACTTTCTATCTCTCTCTCTCTCTCTCGATCTCTCTCGCTTCTCCTCACTCTCTCTCTTTTCCCCCTCTATCTGTCTCGCTCTCTCTCGCGCTTTCTCTCCCGCGCTTTCTCTCCCGCGCTTTCTCTCCCTCCCTCTCTCTCTCTCTCTCTCTCCCTCTCGCTCTCTCTCGCTTTCTTTCTCGCTAACATTGTGTCTTGCTCATCTCAATCTCCATGTATTTCGGTTTGTAGACTTTTCGATTTCGTAAAAAGCTGACTCCAATTCATTTGACGAACATTACCACTAACCATGGTAATTTCGAGGCACCACAGCCGCGTGCTGCAGTAGCAGCAGCAACAGCAGCAGCAACAGCAGCAGCAACATGAGCAGCAGCAAAAACAAAAACAACAGCAGCAGCAGCAGCACCACCATCAACACCACCACTACGACGACGACCACCACCACCACCGCCACCACCACCAGCACCACCACCACCACCACCACCAGCAGCAGCAGCAGCAGCAGCAGCAGCAGCAGCAACAACAACAACAACAACAACAACTACAAAAAACAACAATAGCAGCACCAGCAACAACAACAAGAACAACAACAACAACAGCAGCAGCAGTAACAGCAACAACGACACCAGCAACAGTATCCAACAGCACCAGCCATCGTATCCGCAGTCAATGAAACGTCGGGCGCGTTTCTTTAATTTGTCTATGGATCGTCGGTCGGTGTGGCAGACTGTGGTTTCACGCGAGTTCACGCGAGACCGTCGTGTTTTGTGCGACGATTCTACCGCGAGATTTTTGCCTTTTTCATTTGTCCGGTCACGAGTCCCTCGACGAAAGCTAGTAGGTGCGTGTGTGCGCGTGTGTGCTGCGCTTTTCGCTCACCGCGTTTTGTGTGGGATTTTCAGTTTTAATAGCGCGAGAGAGATTGTGTTCTCTGTATCAATGGATTCAGCATTTCGCTCGCGGGTGCTGGAACATGTTAACCGTTACAATTTGAGAGAGCGAGCGAGTGTGTGTGAGGCGGAGAGAGTGAGCGAGAGAAAGAAAGCGAGAGAGTTGCGCGCGTGTGTGTGTGTGTGTGTGTGTGTGTGTGTGTGTGTGCGTGCATGCGTGCGCGTGCATGCGTGCGTGTGTGTGTGCGTATGTGTGTGTGTGTGTGTGAGAGCTTACAAGTACTTACACAGTAGCTTACAAGGAATTAACGTGTGAGTGTGCGTAGACTAGAGTGTAGCCGTAGTCTAGTAGACGAAAATGAGTATACAGAAAATTGCCTGCACTCGCCTGACAGCGAGGAATAGGGAATTTTTCAAAACATCGGTTGTTATTTTCACGCGTGTTTACGTTTGCTTTACTTATTTTGTGTGTTTCTCTCTCGTTGTTTTATAGAGGTGATTCCTTCTACGC